GGATGGATGGATGGATGGATGTGTGGTTGAACTGACAGGTGGATGGAGGATAGAGTATTGATTGGTGAAATAATGCAAGAATGGGAAAAAGATGAATGGTCGGATGGGTTACTGGATGGATGGAAGGGTAGATAGATGGATGAATGAATGGGCGGATAGATGGGGGAGGAACTAATAATGGTTAAAAAATGTTAAAAATTAGTCACCACTTATACTGTCCTTTGCAGATGATGCTACTACTGGCATAATGACTGGCCTTATCAGATTGTGTCACCAACCTATTCCTTTCCTATCCCCCCATACTTTCTCACTCACTCACTCACTCACTCACTCACTCACTCACTCACTCACTCACTCACTCACTCACTCACTCACTCACCCACCCACCCACTGACTGACTGACTGACTGACTGACTGACTGACTGACTGACTGACTGACTGACTCACTCACTCACTCACTCACTCACTCACTCACTCACTCACTCACACTCACTCACTCGCTTACTTACTCACTCACTCCCTCACTCACACGCTTACTTTTTCACTCACTTACTCACTCATTCACACGCTTTCTCACTCATTCACTCACTCACTCACTGACTCACTCACACACTTACTCACTCACTCACACATTTACTCACTCACACTCACTAACTCGCTTACTCACTCACTCACTCACTCACTCACTCACTCACTCACTCACTCACTCACTCACTCACTCACTCACTCACTCACTCACTCACTCACTCACTCACTCACTCACTCACTCCCTCACTCACTCACTCACTTACTCACCCACTAACTCACTCACCCACCCACTCACTCACTTACTCACTCACTCACTTACTCACTCACTCACTCAATCACACACTCTTTCACACACTCACTCACTCACTCATTCGCTCACTCACTCACATGCTTACTCTCTTACTCAAAATCATCCATGGAGACAGACCAACCAAATCACAAGCGTCAGATAGAGATGAGTAACAGAAACATCAGGAAGGAAGGAAAGACAAGATTACACAAAAGTCCTAGTAAATGCTAACTCCCATTGTATACCAGAAACCTAGACAACATCAAGTGAGAGAGAGGAAAGGGCCGACAGGGATGACATAAGGAAGAATCAACCAGTCAGCAAACTCGCAATGACGGTGGCAGGATGGAACCAAAATACGACAAGTTATTAATTGCCTTCAGATGCGAAACCAAACCATATAACAAGAAGGAATAGAAGAATCCCACTTACTTGAGACACCAATACCGACATGTTTAAACAATGCGAAAGAAGGAAGAATCCACATAAATTAAAACGTCTAATGACAACAAGACATAATGGAACCAAAAGAAACTATATCTGAAGAAGTCATACACAATAAAGACCGCAAATATAGACAACAGCTATAAAGAGTGGAAATGCCTGAAAGTGATCGAATTATAAGAGAGAGAGAAACTTTTTAGTTATTTTGAAGCCCCACCCTGCCTTTTGCCGGGGTCCCTAAATATAGCTGGGCCTATATGACCTAACCGCTGAATGGGGTTTCAGGGACCTATCCACGGGTGATCCTCATCCGCATGGTGGCACTTGTGTGTCACCGGGTGTTTATCGTTTGTGTGATGTCCTGTTTGGAGAGAGGAGGCAGCCTTGTCGGACTTCTACTGTTGTTCGGCATTAGCTTCCTATTTGCCCGTTCAGCGTGACAGTACTGCTGGCCTTGGCATAGCGATGTTCTATAGTACGTATGAGGGTTTTACCCATATTGTACTTTTTCATATTTTTCGAAAGTGCTGAATACCCTATCAAAGGCTTTTTTTTTAAATCAATGAACACAAGGTATAGATGTTTTTGGTGCTGGGGTATTGCCCAGATAATATGCGTAATTAAATATCTGTGCTTCTTTCAGCACGTAAACCCGCCTGTTTCTCTGCTATGATCTTTTCTGAATGTGGCTTTAAGCTGTTTATGAGTATCTTAAGCATGACTTTACTGGGACGACTGATGAGACTTATCGTCATCATTATCATTATCGCCTTGCCGACTGGCTAGGGCGATCATGCCTATCCACAATCTGCGATCTCCTGCGTCATGTATCAGTTCGTGTGCCGACACACCTCCATGCCATGCAAGAAGACTGTCAAGAATCTTCTCTCGTTGTCTTCCTCTATCCCTTCCTTCCACAGATATTTCTGGTGGTCAAATGTTCTATCTTCCCTCTTCTCATAACATGGCCGAAAAATGATGACTGTCTCCTTCTGATGTCTGGGATAAGTTGTCTTCGGGCTCCCGCTTCTTTCAAAACCTCTTGGTTGCTCTTTTTGGCTGTCCAAAGTATTCTAAGCATTCTTCTGAAAAACCACATCTCTGAGGCCTCAAGAAATTGTTTGGCCTGCCTACCGATTGTCCAACATTCACAGACATATGTCAAAACTGGATGTATGTAACAAGCAAGAATTCTTTTTTCTAATTCTCAATGACAAGGATATATTGCACAAGATGTTTTTCAATTTATAAAATGCAGTTTTTGCCTGTCCTTTTCTGTTTCTTATCTCAGTTATGCATCTTCCATCTGATGTTATCCATGTGCCCAGATACTTAAATTTCTGTAATTGTCCCAAAATAACACCATCGACTTTTATTACACATTTAGGAATAATTCGTTTTATTATAATTGCTTGAACAAAATATGGAACTCTGAATTGTGTCGTTGTAAAACCATGTTACGCATTTTTAATTCTGATGTTATTTCAGATGTGCTAGTCAAAGTTGCAGATCCACTCAAGATACTGAACGAAAGTTCAATGCTTTTGAAAACAAATGTCTGAGGGAAATTATACAAGTGAAATGGGATGAATTCAAAAGAAGTGAAGAAATAAGAGAAATGTCTGGGCAACCATTAGTAACAACAGTTATAAAATAGAGAAGATGGCGCTATACTGGACTTATCATGTGTAGGAGCCAGCTAAGAATCACCAAGAATGCTAAAAAATTGACTGGGGGGGGGGGAGGGGTGAATTAAAGAGGCGAGAGCACATAACAGAAACCATAGAACGAACGTTAGTGAGAGAGGCCAAATCTGCTGTACTGGATTCCATCCATGAGGTTGAACTGATTGTAAAGGATAAAGCAGGGTGGAGGGATAGAATGCGAGCCCTATGTGGCGATAATGAATTTGTTTGTTTATTCAACGGATCAACACCATGGCACAAGGGTGGTAACCCAGGTATGCTCCGTTCTACTTCTAACTCAGAGTCCGAAGAATCTCAACGTAGTGAGCAAACTCCGTAGCACCGGCGAGGATCCTGAAATACTGTACAGGAGATATTTGTTGAAGTGTGAGGGGACGAATTTATGAAACGCACAGTATCTAAGAAAATCACAGCAATATACATGCATGGCCCACGACCGGCTCCTGCTGACGGGCCGTGCTGCTGACATCACCGGGTTGGGCTAACGATGCGTTAACGTAGCGGTTCTCAAACAAGAAAAAAACTATTTTCGACAGTGACGAGGGAAGACAACTTAAATTTCAACTTTTAAGTATCTACACGCATTCTTTAATAATTTCACAATTTTTAGCCGACTTTTCTTGATTATTGTCGCATCAACCCTGTCATACGCTCACGGCACTCCAGTTTGAGAACCGCTGCTTTAAGGCATCGTTAGCCCGACCCAGGGTGACGTCAGCAGCACGGCCCATCAGCTGCAGTCGGTAGTTGCCTGACCCATAAAGGAGTGTTAGTTCTGTTTTATGAAGACAAAAGAGACCACCAGTTAGTTACCAGAAAAGGAGTTTGCTAACAATACAACAGTGTACAGTAAAATTTTTCAGTTGTGTGTATTGCGTGCGTGCATGCGTATGTGTGTGCGGTGTCCCGCTTGTCTCCACAAACGACGACTTGATATTAAAATCACATAAGAGCCATTTACCATACGCCAAGCCAACAGGAGCTCTCTGGCTTGTGCGTTACCTACTGGTTGTTTTTAGTCTCAAACGTGCTCTGCAGAACGCTGAACAACTTTATTGAAGCTTTTTACGTTTTCCTCCCCAAATAAAGCGTAACTGGCCTTTTATTCATGCTTCCTGACATGTCACATGCGCTGGTCTATGTTAGATGGGTTCAGGTTGTGTTGTATTGTGCCAGCTAGACGGTGTATAACGGTTATACGCCAAAAAAGAAGCGTATGGGCATTCACAGCACGCTCAGCAGGCAAAACAGTCAAAGAAGCCAACGGCGCCTCCTCCATGAGAACCAGCAGCATGACGATGGAGGTGATGGCAGTGACGCCTGGCTCGAAACACAAAGCTACACTTGCGTGTATTGATGGGAAGGATAGAGGACTTTGGGGGCAGTGAATCCACATCACTCGCCAGAGTGACAGACTTGGGAATTAGGATCGGCATAGCAAAAAACATACCATCACAAAATACCATCACAAGACTACATCTCAGAAGATCAGCTACATGAGCAAGAGGACGGCCGCGGAAAACATGGATCGACAACATTAAAGACACTCTACGCCTTCACGGCATGACAATAGCCAGTGACAGCCAACGTGCACTGGATCGCAAATTATTCTTCCCCACGTCGCTTAACGGCAGAAGTGGTTTCTGATGATGATGATAACAAAAACGAGACGCACACCTGAAGACTTGTTAATGAACATAGAACTGGTACTATTAGCCATCAGACGTTGGGGTTCATTCTGAGGGGAGGATCTGAGCAACTATGGACATGTCCGGAGTGCAATGATGATAACCCAACTTCTTCTTCGTTCACCGGCTGTGAATTCCGGCGGAAGGTCCCAGTTAATCGTCCGCTTGAACTTTTGGCTTTTACCAGGACCTGAGTTTTGCGAGTACAATCGTTTTACTGGCTTTTCAATTTTGCCGTCAAACACTGCTTCTTCTTTTACGCCAAGGGCTGAAGTTGTCCATATTTTAGACTGCTGTTGGCTGCTTCCCAACTGAACATTGGTATCGTCTGGTAGAGAAGTGAAGATGAGTCGGTCTGGAGCAGAAATCCGTCGAAGGTGATTGTCTTTTTCTATTTACATTATATACACAAGAACCGACTTGTCCATTTTCATTTCGTGACCAGCCTGGATGTATTTAGTTATATTAAACTTAAAACTTACGTATAAAAAAAAAAAAATCGCATGAACAAGTGGAAGATGTACAGTACAAGTAGTAGTACAAGCCTCAACTTGTTTTTCTTTTTAAAAATATAATAATAATATTAAAAATAATTAATAATTATAATTATTATTATTATTTTTACTAATTTATTGAGCTTGCGACAAACTAACTAACCACAACTCACAATTTCACATTTAATTTATTATGACGAGGGCAAGATAAGAATTTATTTCAACCTAGGATATAAAACAAAAACGTGAGTGAGTGAGTGAAACACTTTTTTTTTTAAAATTAAGAGTACAATTGCTATATTTTCACTTTTGATTGCTACCTTGTTTACCCTGCATCCATCTTCGCATTCTCTCCCCACGTCTGCACTTCAATGCCCCCCCCCCCTTTTCTCTCTCTCTCTCTCTCTCTCTCTCTCGTTGATCATTCAAGCAAAAAATTAGAGACAAATATTGTTTTTTTTTTCTTTTTTTCATTTCTAGTGAGAACCAGTCTAAAGTTATCCAAGATCGAGTCACAAAAATTGAACAGCATCTAGGACAGCTCTGTGATATAGCTTCCTCCTACACACGAAAAACAGCCAGGCTGCGAGATAAAGGTGAGAACTCTGATTACTTTATATAGTTTTTGTATTTATTTAAAAAAAAAAAGACTGAACTGATTTAGCCATTTAATGAGATGAATCCAATGATGCCAGCAGCAAAGGCATACAACACGAAAGTAAAACACCAAGAGGTAGAGGACAACCAAGAAGAAGAGGGATTGAAGGAGTGACTAACACCTTCAGACGCCACATCACAGGATACTGGGAAACCAAGCGTGTCCTACTCAGATACCGATTATCTGTTAACATGTGACCTTTAGTGCCAGAAAGGAATATTGACAAAATAAAGAAATATCCTGTATATCAGAGGTTGATGTCCGTTTAGTTTATGACTAATCTGTTAATGCCATGTATCTCACTATTCTTTCATGACTTAAAATTTGATAACTGTCGTGTGTTCTGCCATATTATTTTTACCTTATGTTAACTGTTTCCTTGTCCTCAGGGGATCTGCTGGCTAAAGAGCTCATTGGGATCTCTGAGGTTGAGAAATGGAACCCGACACTAAGCACAGGCTTGGCCAAATTTGCGGAGACTTTGTCAGCAGTTCAGGATTATAGAGAAGCAGAGGTTTGTGGCAAATTGGGATGTATTAAATTATAGAAGTCTAAAATGTCAGCGTAAATAATGATATTCTCTGTGGCTATTGGGTTGGGATCTGTTGACAGGGAAATACATTAAACCTGGGAAGGGGAAAAGGGGGGGGGGGGGTTGGGGTATGTTGACAGGGAAATACATTAAACCTGTGAGGGGGGGGGGGGTGGTTGGGGGTCTGTTGACAGGGAAATACATTAAACCTGGTTGTTGGGTGGGGGGGGGGGGGGGGGTGGGGTCTGTTGACAGGGAAATACATTAAACCTGCGAAGGGGGTTGGGGGGGGGGGTTGAGGTCTGTTGACAGAGAAATACTTTAAACCTGGTTGTTGGGTGGGGGGTGGGGGTGGGGTCTGTTGACAGGGAAATACATTAAACCTGGTTGTTGGGGGGGGGGGGGGGGGGGGGGGGGGGGGGGGGGTTAACTACCTATCTAAGTCTAATGTCAGCCAGTCTGTATAATTTTGGGCCTGAATTATGAACAGTTAACCTACCTCTCATTAGATTTAATGTACCAATGCTGGTCTTGTATACACATTGCTGAATTATGACCAGTTAACCTACCTCTCATTAGATATAATGTACCAGTGCTGGTCTTGCACAAAAGTTGCTGAATTATGAACAGTTAACCTACCTCTCATTAGATGTAACGTACCAGTGCTGGTCTTGTATACACATTGCTGAATTATGAACAGTTAACCTACCTCTCATTAGATTTAATGTACCAATGCTGGTCTTGTATACACATTGCTGAATTATGACCAGTTAACCTACCTCTCATTAGATATAATGTACCAGTGCTGGTCTTGCACAAAAGTTGCTGAATTATGAACAGTTAACCTATCTCTTATTAGATGTAATGTACCAATGCTGGTCTTGCATACACGTTGCTGAACTTATGACCAGTTAACCTACCTCTCATTAGATGTAATTTACCAATGCATGGTCTTGCACAAAAGTTGCTGAATTATGACTCTGACTTGGTGAGAGGAAGGAGAACTCTGCAGCATGTTTCCTGAGAAAATGATAATTGGTACCAGGTCAGAAGAGGTGTCTACAGTGAACTGACTGCAATAGATGCCATTCTACATCAAGCCTCAGATTACTTGAATATTAATACATTGGACTAGTTAAAAAGTAGATCTTCAAAAGGATTCACAACCAACTGTAGATATAATTCACAGAGGCAAAAGAACACACGATTGAAAGAATTATGTTTGTAAGGGTTCAGAATTCAACAATCAGGCCTACGATTCTTCTCTTCTTCTCTCTACTAAATATTTTTTCATTCACACAACGGCAGAGGAAGACAAAAAAAATTTATGTGTGCAGCTTATAGAGCTGGGGACCAAATAATATAAGCAACACTTAACTTCACAAAAGTATCAGATCTCAGAGAGTCATGGTCTGTCTCCCTCTTATTAAAAATTACCCTTTACCACAAATGTTCATGATGCCTGTTAAACTGACTTATTTAGCTGTGAATGCCTACAGGTGAAGAGGCTGGAAGGCAAGATAATCACACCTCTGGTCAACTATGGTCTCCTGTGCAAACAGACAAAGGTTAGTATTCATTCTTGTTCATGGAATCATATTTTCTAATATTTTTCTTCTTTCCCATCTCCGCCACCTCCTTTTTCTTCTTCTTCATCTTCTGCCATTTATTCCCATTTAAAAAAAAAAAGTATCTGTTGATTGATTCCTGTGAACTTTACTCATGATATTATTTCACTGGTGTTGACTGTGTTTGACTGTTATTGATATTTGTTGTTTCCTTGTGAAAGTTGCCACAGTGACGAGTTTTAATTTACCACAAAACACGACTGTGGATTAGATTCTAGCTGTGGCGGGTATCTTATCACGAGGTTCAACAGTTGTCTGGCCAGCCTCACATAAATGGTTACCAGTCATTTTTCATAATTGTACTGGAATTGCCTAGGATTGTCTTGCCTTATTAATCAAATGTCTGTGTGGATTGGCCTCATGCTGTACTTGATCATGGATTTTCTCACCTGTCAGTGAAATCTTTAACATTCTTTAGAAAACCACTTTAGTGTGACATCCATGTTTCTGCTCTCTTTATTCATTGTCCCTGATTTGCAGACAAACAATAGAATGGGCATGAAGTCCACATTAAGTGATGGGTGGAAAATCTGAGTCTATAAATAATAGCATCTACCTAGCACAGACCAAGGCTCACACTCGATGCCTCTTCAGAATCTGAAAGGCAGATCAGGACTAGAGAAGACTAGAAGTAGATGAAGTGGACATGCTATTCAGGTTTCCTGAACTTTGCAGAGGGCTCTGTTTAAGTGGTGTGACTGTTATGTCACTTTGTAACCTTTCATCTGAACACCTCATCGGTACAAAATATACAGTACTGTTGATGTAAGATTTTTCTCTCTACAAATATACAGTACTGTTGAAGTCTGGTTTTTCTATCTACAATGTACTGTTGAAGTCTGGTTTGTCTGTCTACAAATATACAGTGCTGCTGAAGTCTGGTTTTTCTGTCTACAGATACAAAGTTATGTTGAAGTATGGTTTTTCTATTTCTGCAAGATCAGATCATCAAAGTGTAACATTGTCTTTTAATTTGCCCCCACAGAATGACCTAAAATCTGCATTTGCTGCCAGAGACCGGGAAGTCAACCAGAAGAAAAAACTACAAACTTTACAGAACAAAAACCCTGCAGATCGACACAAAATTGTATCCTTCAAGCAGATGTCACTAATGTTGTTGCTTATTATGACATGACCTATATATCAGTGTATTGGGCACTATGCCTATGTATTGCATGTCGGCTCTGTGGCTAAGTCGATGCGAATGCTTCGTAATGCCGCTATGCCGGGTTCGATCCCAGCTGCGGGCCATGCGCCTTGCGTTGGTTTCGACAGTGGTATCAAGAAAGCCGACCGTCCAGAAAGCAATGGCAAACTACTGGACGTAAATTTGCCTAGAAAAACCACACAACATCCAGTAGAAAACATAGCTGTATAAATCCAACCAGATATGGGAGATAATAGGTTACAAAGGGGATAGCTGCTGAGATATCGAGACCATGACCCTAACCTTTTGGTTTATATGACTGGTCACCAAAGTCCAGAAATGGATGACTGACCAGGACTTTCTGTCAGAGTTTACAGCCAGCGAACACTAAGATGGTGTGGAAGTTGGAGGGGAAAAGTGGCAGAGGGAGACAGAGAGAAGAGATGCCAAACATCATGGCATGGAGGATCATCTTTGTCAAAGTTGATTTTTAGTACACAAGACAGAAGGTTGTGGCATGGCATGGGTTATAAGAAGAAGAAGAAAAAATGCTAAAAAGAAGATACGACTGGTTCTGTATTGTTGTGTTGTCTTGCTTTCCTTAACCAGTTTCCAGGCACAGGTAATATGTCCAGATTTTCATCACGAAGACAGTTACAACCAAACTCAAAATGGACGCTGTAATAGTTGAATATTTTAGATGACTGGAAATTTGTTAAAATTATTTGTAAAGGTTACTAACTTATAGTTTTACATAGTCGCCTCTTATAACATGCTTGTGGGTTGGCAATAGGTCTGTCTACATTCCCCTCAAATTTGGTCCCTCCCTTGGGTGTTAATGGATTTGATTTGACTAATGAGAATTAAGGAAAATCATTGTGGGGGGGGGGGGGGGGGGTAAGAATTTAAAACAAAAATATACTAGACAGCAACAAAATTTTAAAAAGCTGTAGTAAATGTTTACAAAACTTAAAATTTTTAACTTTAATGTCAAATCAGTACTGCTGCATGGAGCAGAAAATAAAACAGTTACCAATAAACTACAGGAAAAAAAATTCCTGTGAATCAAGAGGTAAAGAAAAAATGCTGGTGTTGGATAGGACACATTGAGAAAAACTGAGAACAATATAACTATAAGGGCTTTAAACTGGAACCTACAAGGATATAGAAATAAAGTTAGCACAAAAAAGAAAAACACACCTAGAAGGGAGCAAGATTGGGAAGTATAAAGATGGAAGGACATGGGGTGAGCTGCAGGCAATAGCAAAAGATAGTACGACTCGGTGGGAGTTGGTTGAGTGCCCATGCTCCATTGGGGGTTAAAGGGCAGAAGAAAAAGAATGTTGGTGATTAGAAAATAGTGATGTTTTGAAGAGTTGTGGTGCATCCTAGATTGTACATTTATGATACAGCATGGGCATATCTCCTTACAGCTTGAAGCTGAGCTACAGAGAGCCAGTCTGGATGCCTCCCGTGCCAGCAAGGCATTGGAGCAACAGATAGACAAGTTTGAAGAGAGGAAGCTGCAGGACCTCAAGGTGAGCATTCCTCTGTACAGTTGAAGAAAGGATAGTTCAGAGATGAAACAGCTTGAGTTGAGATGCTTGAGTTTTGGTGGCAGTGGGGTTCTGGCAAAGAGGGATGGAATGTTTGAGTGGACAGATTTGACATCTGCTGTGTTACTCAATCTACCATCATCTATACAGTTTTTCAGTATTTCCAGAGGGTGACAGTGAATACATTAGAGAGAACAATAGTGGAGGGGTATATGCCTGGGAAAAGAGGAAGAGAAAGGCCAAAGAGACAATGGGTGCAGGATGTGGCGGATGATCTCCAGAGGGATGTATCAAATGCAGGACATCTTGTTATCAAGAAGTTTTCGGAAGGTTGTTATGGGAGCAAGATTCTGCAAAGGACAGACTGACTGACTGACTGACTGTGAATTTATAGGTCTGCCCAGTATATTGTGTAGTTCATGTTGTGAAAGGCCCTGGCTAAAACTCGATTACATTGTTCCCCTTCCCCCTTTTTATTCACATTTCATTAGATTGATTTCTCAGTTGGTTTTGATGTTGATCCTTCAGTAAAAATTAACAGGAATATCCCACCTTTGGTAAACTGTCTGACAGAAGGTATGAAAGGACAGACTAAGTGCTTTGTCTGGGATTTCCCTGTCATGTTTGTCCCTTATGAGCAAGGGTGAGATTATCTTTGTATGTGGATGGTGGGGACAAATATGACTCTCTTCCATATTTATCTGAGACTTATTTCACAAGTTTCATTCGTGTCTTTCTTTCATCTTCCTTATTTCTTTCCTCATCTTTATCTGTTTTTGCTTTTCTGTTTGTTTGAGTTTTAAAAAAAATCTGTCTCTTCTTCTACTTCCTGAATTATTTCTCTTCTTCTCAAATCTTTTTTTCTCCTTTTTTGTTCTCTGATAATTTCTGTATCAACAAGGAGCTGAGTTCCTTCAGTAAATGCAGTCACCAGCTAGAGGTCACCTATAGGTGCACTATACTATTTTTTTTAAAGTACTCTCTGGGGTAGAAAAGGAAACCCAAAGGTTGTGACCATGTGCGCACATGCATGTGTACGTATGTGTGTGTACCCGTCATGATACAAGACACCCTGTGTAGGAGAGCACACCCATTGCAGATACACCCTGAAACATGATGACTGTGTGTATGTTTATGCCTAACATTTGCATGTGTGCACATTTACAACAGAATTAAATGATGTTACAACATATGTCAAGCGGCGTCCGTGGCTTAGGCATTGCGAGTCCGACTCGTAATTCCAACGTACCGCTACCGAAACCCACTGCTGGCTGTGTGGATTTTTATCATGGTATGGAGCATCATCGGTCCACCCAGCCTCAAATGGGTACCAGGATGGCTGTCCTCGGGAAGTAAAGACAGCTGGCTTAATGCTGACCACATTACCCACCTAGTGCCGATTGGTCTATAAAAATATGGGTGCTCTTCCAATATGCCTGATGCGCCTAAAGGCGTGAAAAAGGGATCTTCACTTTACTTACAACATGTGTCATTTCTGAAATAAACAGTTTTCAAAGAGGTGCTCATTTACAGTCATCTTTGTGAATGTCAGACATAATCATTAGGTTCCACCACAGCTGATACTATTTTCAAAGAGCTTGAAACATCCCATGATTTGTTTATAATTGCAGAAAATCTTGCGAGAGTTTGTAACCATAGAAATGCATTTTCACGCCAAAGCTTTGGAGTTGTATACACAGAGCTTCCAGACATTGGACCATATAGACCCAGAGGCTGATTTGGAGGTCAGATTTTTATTATGTGTTTATGTTTCTTCTATGAGTATTCCATAATCTGTTGAGAGAGTTGTGGTCATTTGAGATTTGGACACTTGCTTGTCAACCCTTTAGTCATCTTTCAGTTTCCTATGAGATAGGAACTTTCTAGAAAACTAGCCAAGACTTCCAGATGGGCCGCAACAAACTAATAGCTGGCTCTGGTCTGAGAAGTATAGGTGGCTGACATGTTTTTAACCACATCAGCCAACAGGTGCTGATTGCTCTATACAGATATTAGGTTCACATCAGACAGACCTGTGTGGGGTCAAAGTCCCACTGCTGCCATAAGCCTGTCATGGTTCACATCAGACAGACCTGTGTGGGGTCAGAGTCCCACTGCTGCCATAAGCCTGTCATGGTTCACATCAGACAGACCTGTGTGGGGTCAAAGTCCCACTGCTGCCATAAGCCTGTCATGGTTCACATCAGACAGACCTGTGTGGGGTCAGAGTCCCACTGCTGCCATAAGCCTGTCATGGTTCACATCAGACAGACCTGTGTGGGGTCAAAGTCCCACTGCTGCCATAAGCCTGTCATGGTTCACATCAGACAGACCTGTGTGGGGTCAGAGTCCCACTGCTGCCATAAGCCTGTCATGGTTCACATCAGACAGACCTGTGTGGGGTCAGAGTCCCACTGCTGCCATAAGCCTGTCATGGTTCACATCAGACAGACCTGTGTGGGGTCAGAGTCCCACTGTTGCCATAAGCCTGTCATGGTTCACATCAGACAGACCTGTGTGGGGTCAAAGTCCCACTGCTGCCATAAGCCTGTCATAAAAGACAACTAATTAAGGGTCTACTGAAATCAGGTGTGTTGGTTCAAGAGTGCAGCTTAGCTGTACAACAATAAAAAAATATGCCAGCCACCCTTTTTAAGAGCAAATGGAGAAGAAGAAGATAAAATACAGCCATTGTGTTTCAGGATGTGGATGAGAAGCATTGACAGTTTGGTGCTGTAGTAGTGGACTGACTGGCCTGGCAGCGCATGGGTGCTGTAGTAGTGGACTGGCAGTGCATGAGTGCTGTAGTAGTGGACTGACTGGCCTGGCAGCGCATGAGTGCTGTAGTAGTGGACTGACTGGCCTGGTAGCGCATGGGTGCTTTAGTAGTGGACTGGCTTGCCTGCCAGTGCATGGGTGCTCTAGTAGTGGACTGGCTTGCCTGCCAGCGCATGGGTGCTGTAATAGTGGACTGGCTTGTCTGCCAGCACATGGGTGCTGTAGTAGTGGACTGGCTTGCCTGCCAGTGCATGTGTGCTGTAGTAGTGGACTGGCTTGCCTGCCAGTGCATGGGTGCTGTAGTAGTGGTCTGGCTTGCCTGCCAGTGCATGGGTGCTGTAGTAGTGGACTGGCTTGTCTGGCAGCGCATGGGTGCTGTAGTAGTGGACTGGCTTGCCTGCTAGGGCATGGTTGCTGTAGTAGTGGACTGGCTTACCTGCCAGCACATGAGTGCTGTAGTAGTGGACTAGCTGGCCTGCCAGTGCATGGGTGCTTTAGTAGTGGACTGGCTGGCCTGCCAGCGCATGGGTGCTTTAGTAGTGGACTGGCTGGCCTGCCAGCGCATGGGTGCTTTAGTAGTGGACTGGCTGGCCTGCCAGCGCATGGGTGCTGTAGTAGTGGACTGGCTGGCCTGCCAGTGCATGGGTGCTGTAGTAGTGGACTGGCTTGCCTGTCAGCGCATGGGTGCTGTAGTAGTGGACTGGCTTGTCTGCCAGCGCATGGGTGCTGTAGTAGTAGACGGGCTTGCTGCCAGCGCATGGGTTCTGTAGTAGTGGACTGGCTTGCCTACCAGCGCATGGGTGCTTTAGTAGTGGACTGGCTTGCCTGCCAGTGCATGGGTGCTGTAGTAGTGGACTGGCTTCCCTGCCAGCGCATGGGTGCTGTAGTAGTGGACTGGCTTGCCTGCCAGCGCATAGGTGCTGTAGTAGTGGACTGGCTTCCCTGCCAACGCATGGGTGCTTTAGTAGTGGACTGGCTTCCCTGCCAGTGCATGGGTGCTGTAGTAGTGGACTGGCTTCCCTGCCAGCGCATGGGTGCTGTAGTAGTGGACTGGCTTGCCTGCCAGCGCATGGGTGCTTTAGTAGTGGACTGGCTTGCCTGCCAGCGCATGGGTGCTTTAGTAGTGGACTGGCTTGCCTGCCAACGCATGGGTGCTGTAGTAGTGGACTGGCTTGCCTGCCAACGCATGGGTGCTGTAGTAGTGGACTGGCTTGCCTGCCAACGCATGGGTGCTGTAGTAGTGGACTGGCTTGCCTGCCAATGCATGGGTGCTGTAGTAGTGGACTGGCTTGCCTGCCAACGCATGGGTGCTGTAGTAGTGGACTGGCTTGCCTGCCAGCGCATGGGTGCTGTAGTAGTAGACTGGCTTCCCTGCATGGGCTTCATGTATTCACAGACCTTTTGTGGGGATTACTTTCAGTGACCTGGTCTTCCAAGTCCAGCAGTATATATATCTATAAATCTAAACTTGATACTGAAGTACTATTTCCCTGGCGACTGTTGCAGACTCTCCTCCCCCTCTCCTAAAAAACCTGCAAGATGTGCAAGAACGGAACTATTATTTCACATCTGTTAAAGGCATGGTTGTTTTTATAATGCTAGCTGCACACAGGGGACCCAGATCCCTGTGTAGATTCCAGGACCCCAATGTGGGTGTGTGGGGGCCTCCCTAGCAAGCATGTCATAGGAGTCAACTAATTAGAGTGTTTCCTTCAAAATTTAACTCCCACCACCTGAGAGCCGAGAGGCAGGAAAACAACAGCCTCCACACAAAATAAGCCAGAGCTGTGAAATGATGTAAACACAGAACTCATGTTCTGGAACAGGACTGAAATCCAGAAGTGGCCGATAAGCCAGAGCTTTCTGCTGGAGCTTACAGTCTTCAGCAGTAGGCTGCAAGTTGGAACCAGTCTTGCCACCTCAGTTGTATCAGTCACTTGGTTAATGAAAGGTTTCTTTTTATCCCTGCCGTCTCCCAATAGAGCACAGGTGCTCAGTCAAATCCTCACTAAGCCCTTTGTAGTTCATGATTGCCGCAAGCCTGTAATATTAGATTGCCAGTCCTGTGCTAACTATTCTTAGTTGCTTCTTCTGACATGCTCTCAAATTCTTTATTTCACGTATGTAACACACAGGTAGAATGCAGTGGTTAAACTGTGATCAATTTCTTTTTTTTTTGTTCATTTCTTTTTTAAAAACTCTCTTTTTGTTATACTTATACTGTCTTTTTAAACGCTTTGAACATAAAGGGTGCCCCGTACGTTTCTATACATAGGAAAACATTTTGATGTATGCCTTCACTGCTGAATTGGAATAATGCATGTAATAGCATTGGTGATACGTTCATTTTACTATGTAGGAAACTTATCGGACACACTGTACTTTCACTTATTCTATTTTTTCTTTTGCAGGAATTCAGACGACAGCTGAGACCAGAAGGAACTATGAGGGCAGATATTGCTAGATCAACTTCACAGGCATCGCTGGATTCCAGGCAAAACTCTACAGGGAACAACACACCAAGGAGATTACCTCCCAAACAGCTAACACCAACTCACGCTGACAACCGCAAGAGGATTGTCCCTCCAACTCCTCAGGTAAGTTCAAAGAAAACAAACCGTTATTTAAGTCTTCAGCAACTTTGCTCAAAGAAATAAAAAATCATATTCAGTAGCTTATCTAAAAAAAGAAGCACGTCAAGTTTTCAAAAATGTTAGCTGTAAATTTCAAGTAATCATGAACAGGTGCAAAAGTAAGGATACAAGTTTGATGAGAGAAGAATAACACAAACAGCCAAGATGAAAGGAGGCTGTTCTAGAAGAACTATAAAAATGTGGTAAGGACATCAAGGATCCTGCAGGAGATACCAAAAGATGATTGATGTGAGGAGTTTGAGAACCTGTTCTCTTGTTTAGGATATTGGGGTAGAAGAGATGGAAGAAGTTCTTGTATGTGTGTTATCTCATCTGGGCAAAGATTCTACATACAGCATTTGGCAAGGTAGATTTTCTGAGGGCTCTTTTGGAGCACGTGAACAGTGAGGAGAAACAAATAGATCATTACGATCTGAGGAGAATGGCACCGAGTGAAGATACCAGGGGATCTGGCTGATGCTCAACACTTATTGGAAAGGCAAGATGGATGGACAATCAGACAGTTACTGTACCATCGGAATTGGAACTCTTCACTTGCTGCTGGGGCTGGAGCGCTTATGGGAGTGTCCAAAGTGCTATGATGTCGATTCTTCATTCAAGATTCAGCATTCAAGACAAGCCTGTATTAGCTACGTCTCCCTCTTCAACAGCAATCAAAGTCTCCATACCGATGGTACCCATTGTCATCCTGGTAACTACTTGTCTTGCCTTCCCTCTGAGTCTTGAGTGTTATCTCAGTTGTGTACCTTTTTCGATTTCTACTTGTGACATTAGAATGTTCCTAGTCATTAAAGTTTCATTTTGTTCATTGTTTAAAATCAACAGTTATGTAACACTTTTCCCAAAAAACAGTTGTCTGTGCTTGATTACAGTATCTTTTTATTCTTCTTGAATAACTGGCTGTATAAACTCTGGCGGAAAGTTCTGGATTTTGCATGCACATCTTTTTTACAGATCTGGCCTTTTTTTGGGTATGCAAACTGTTAGTCTCTTGCCATTCAGGCAGATGTACTCTTGAGACATGGAAGATCCACGGTGGGAGATGAATATACTGGCACGTGTCAGCCAAGACAGTCATATGAAATCAATCCCAGGTCGAGGATTGGGTGTGAGATAATTTTCTGCAATGAATAATCAATCCAGAATTGAGGTCACTGCACTCGGGACATCCCAGTGCATGCTCCATGACCCTTCCTTGGTAGCCACTGAAGAGTTCCCATATCTTGGGAGGAAGAGGATGATGAGCAGGGACATTGGCCTTTCTGTCTTGTATGTAAACCTAACATTCCATACCTGAATCTTCTTTTTTCTTTTTCTCTACTCCTGGAATGCCTCGCAGCATCAGGGCATAAAGAGATCTCTGGAACAGGCCCTTCTGTTCGCTTCATATCAAATACTTTTTAGTGTCTCTGATATTTCTGCGTTCCATGTTCTGCATGGTTGACCTCTGCCTCTGTTACCGCTGTATCTGTATAACATTGCTCTCTGTGGTGCCCTGTCTGATGCCAGTCTTGTTTTATATGGCTACTGTATCTGAATGGGATTATCTTAATTTGTATGACAAAAAAATAACATCACTCACATATGCAAGAACCGGGGTAAAGACATGCTGGGCTGACCAGTATTGCTGGCAGTAGGAGACAGTGGTCACATGGTCAGCAACTTCATCACCAGTCTTGGGGCTGGCTGACCTCATGATTGAACTCATCAGGCAGACAATCTGACTGTCACTGGTACATTGGAATTGGAACTCTGCGCTGGCTGCTGAAAATGGGGACAGAGCACTTGTGGGAATGTCTTAGGTGCTGTAATGCTGATTCTTAACTCAGCTTGAGTGAACTGTCTTTTGATTGCAGGAATGAATTAAAAACTTATAATAATTATTGTTTCCACAATCTTTAGGACTTGGAAGATGACAGCGAAGAAGAAGAAGATGAGGATGAGGACGATGATGAGGAAGATGAATCAGATGAGGAGGAGGATGATGATGAGACAGAAGCAGACACATTACCTCCTCCAAAAAAATAGTCTAGTTAGCCTTTGCTAATGCAGTGCATTATAAGTGTTTCATCGATCCGGTTTGTAAAAAAACTGGATGTATCACTGACCTTCACTTGTAAATAGTAGCTATAGCTGATACTAAATCTTAGTTCTGATGTTACTATAACCCAGGCAAGCTTATTGGTGGTCAGTCTCTCTGACAGACAAACAGGGTTACTGTTTTTTCCTTTCGTCAATCAGTCCGGTACCATCTCACAATGAAGGTTGGCTGCACCGGATCTCCGGCATACTCTCTCATTCTAGTTGTACACTGTCTGAATCTGTTGTTTGTTCATCTCTTGAAATTATGCTCCAACTTGCATCAGTATCTACCCTTTGCTCATTTGCCTTCAAATTTTCTCGCCACTATGATCTTTACAAGAATGTTATGTCTTTTTATTTGGCCTAAGTATTTCACTGGACTTGAAAAAAAAACACATTCTTTCTGTAATTCTGCTTTCATTCTCAGTTTCTTGAGAACATCTGTATTTGACAGTTTTGTTTCTTTCCATGAAATACATTCGGTTCTTGTGCAGATGCACATCTCTGTAGACTCAAAGTGGCTTTCTGATTGCCTGTTCATTGTCCAGGTTTCTGCACCATAGAGTGGGGCTGATTATGAAAGTTCATACTGCAGGGCTGTGATAGACTTGCAGCTCCACATGCCGCTGACTCCCATCTGCAGTCTTGGATGTGGCTATATTGATGTCTGTGTTACTATGCAATAGTGCTGGTGCTTTATTGATGTTGAAATGCCATTGAAGAAGCTGGGTTTAAAGGAGGATGCAGTTGGAACCCATCAAGAGGTCATTCTTCTTCTTATTCCCCATTGGAAAGTAGACACTCATTGAAATCAAGCCAAGTTGTCATATCTTTTCCCTGTGTGGGTTCCACGGCCCTATTCGGTGAAAGAGGGGGGGGGGCACTGCCTCACTAACAAGCATTTTGTAAAAGACAACAGATTAGGGGCTTTTCCTTTATAGTTGGAATGTATCTTCCTGGGAAGTGAGGAACCAACAATCTGCATACAAATAAACCAGATTTGTAAAAGAGATTTGCCCGTAAAATTCATTATCAGGATTAAGACTGAAGTCTAGAAATGGGTGAACAACCAGAACCAGAGTTTACACCCACTGAACCCTAGAAGAAGAAGGAGTTGTCTTATCTGTTACTGTCTGCTGCTGTTCCCTGTGATCCCCTGTAATGCACAGATGGAAGAGAGTGATTAGAGCTTGTAACTTTGTCAGTAGCTTGCAACAAAATTCTTTCTGTCCATGTATGTTGAGTTGAGTCAAGAATTTACATCACAGCACTCAGGGCATTTCCATTATGCTCAGTCCTCATCTTCAGCAGCCAGTGCAGGGTTCCAATACTGATTTTACTGGTCACAATCTGGTTATATGTCTCTCTTCCCTTTCCTCTGAGTGTAGTCAGCCGGCCAGACTCTCTGGTTACACCCAGGTGCCTCATTCTCTCCAGGCCATAATAATCTTGTTTCTCTACTAATTACGTTGCTAGTTACCAAAGGGCCTTGACCACATCTGCCTTGTTATGTATCAATTCACCACCCAGTGGTGCAGATCCAGCCACTGTCTGTCTGTTGATTACCCACTAACCTGGCATGGCCTGGAGAAAAGATCAAAAGTATGCTCACTAACTGTGACCTTTCCAGTGAAGCTTGCCACTCTGCTCAAAGCATCCCTGTCTTCACCTTTCTCAGCATTCTTTCAGAGTCTGTTACAATTAGGATGTTTGTATGCATCTTGTTCTCTAGCCACCAGAGAGTTGCAGTTACCCCCTCCACCTCCATACTCATGCTAGATGTTGTGGTGTTGTAAGCCAGGCTGTCTTGCACTACAGATTTTCCATTGGCTTTCACTACAAACTCCCAGGCACTTCGCTTTCCTCTCAACACCGAACCATCTGTATAAAAAATCAGATCATCTGAGCGTGAATTGCTGTGAATCAACTGTTGGACTTCAACCTCCATAGCACCCGCTGGCCACTCTCTGCACACCCGACCCAATTTGATCATACAGGTTAGACTTTTCCGCTGGTACTCTGACCCACTCCTCTCCTCGCCCATGCATACGTATAAAACACAAGTAAGGTAATTCTCATAATAGTATACTATATAGTATATATAGTGAAGTCAGGACTCCACATATTCTGTGCCGTGACATCAGGAGCAGGGGTGACCAGTTTACTTCCTGATCACCCTTCTTTCCCTGGATATTGCTGGAGAATTCTGAAAGTTGTTTGGTCCCCATGTTTATGAGGTTGAGTCAAACCCCAGAGCTGTAGTGGTCAGAAGAAACAGTCCTGTCTGCTGGTGATTGAAGTCAGCAGGCAGCAGGTTTTTGGCACAGTTTCAGTGGCAAAAGACACTGTGGTGTGAGCTGCTAGAAGTGCCCAAATTGAGCTGAATAAGCAACAAGCTAAGTGATTTGTGGGTTTTTGTGTGAGTCTGATAGAAATTTAATGTAAAACACATTTTTGTATCTGCTGGCATTTTGTGTACTTCATTGTGGTGAAGGAGTCAGAATTCTGTGTAGATTTTATATTTCATGAAACATTTTCTAAGCTTTTTCAACCAGCTAAGTGACAGTGGCATCTGTGGCATGTGAATGTTTGACAGATTGACACCTTGTTTATTCTCACTGAATGTTATATGACTTTACCAAGGTGTTTTTTAATAGGAGAAATGTTGTGAATGTTTACAGAGGAGATGTGAAGTTTCACAGAGATGATGTGGAGGTTCACAGATGTTAAATGAAGGTTCACCAGAGGTGATGTTGTGAATGTTTACAGAGGTGATGTAATTGTTCACAGAGGTGATGTGAAGATGTAACTTGGCAGAGGTCTTGTGAATGTTCACAGAGGTGATGTGATGGTTCACAGAT